CTCTGACTCAAAGCTTAATCTTAATTAAATTTCGTAGATAAAATATACACGTAGATGATAATTCAGAATTGACTTTACTTAATCGATACAAATCAATCCATATATATTATCTGCAAGCAATTTACAACTCCAAAGACTATAGGCCCTAACTGGTAACTGAAGATTTGAGGAATGTTGAAGATTGTTGCTGAATTCTTTTTACAAAACACCAGTTGAGAAGAATTGAAGAATTCTGGAATGCTAAGAAAAAGATAAAAATCACAGAATGCTTTTGGAAATTATGACAAGTCTCACATTTGATATATCTCAAATATATATCTATTCCAAAATTTATTAAAAATTATACAAAAGGTTCATAAGAAAAATTAATGGAAGAGTGGTTTGGTAATGGTCTTAAACTTTTTTTTTTTGGTTCAAAGAGTCTTCCCTTTTTTCTCACTTTATATATATTAGAATATAAATTTACAAAAATCCACAATTATTATTACTTTTATTTATTTTCATGTATATAATTTCTATGATCAATTGAAAAATTACATTTAAAATTTGATGATCAATATTTTACTATAACTTAAATTATTTATAAAATTAATTAAGCAGATAGTTTGGTATTTCATTAATTATTCCAACAAATATATGTGTAATTATTTTAGATTTTTTTATAAAATATTTTAGTTGTTAAACTGGAATAATATTAATTATGATATAATTAAATGTTTTGTGATTTTCCCCCTTTTTAGGAATGGGAAAATTATCTGGCATCTGATCCGATCAACTCCGAATATTCGGGTTTTTGAAGTTTGTGAAACCGAATCTTGATAATAATATTATGGAAAGTATATTTTGTAATAATAATAATAACTATTGAATATTACAATTACATAATTTAATACAATTATTAAATTTATTATAGTTAACATAAATTACATCAGTTGTATATTTCTAAAACCAAATCACTCATTCATTTATTTATGAGTAAATGTTAGTTGTAATATAATATTATTGTTTTGTAAAGATAAATTATGTTTATATTTTATAAGGTTAAACATATATATTTACAATTTAATACCAATATTTAATGTACATTTTCAAGTTTAAATATATTATAGGATAGATTTTGAAATGAATTTTTTTTTAAGTTATTCCGCATTCAGCAACATTCAGCAGTTACCATTCATAATACTAACTAATCAGCCAGATTCCGCAAAAAGTTATAATTTAATTCCGCCAGATTCCGCATTCAGCAACATTCCACAGTTATCATTTAGACCCTATAATATAAAATTTGGGACAACGGAAAACGGAAAAATGTAAGTGGTTCAAACAGATATCATCAAGTGTATTTTTGTTGTTACATGTACATAGTGAAAAAAAATGTACAGGTAAAAGCAAGCTATTTTACCAAACTCTCCTCAAACAGATATCATCAAAGTGTCTTTTTCGTTGCCACCTAACTCCGATTGACCATCAGTTTCTCCTCCGTCGTCTTTGCATGGCGTTTGCTCCGATTCTCCGCCGCGTCTCCGCCGCTAAGAACCTCTTTCCATTATCGAGACTCGCCGCTGGCTCCATACTCTCCTGTAGATCTCTACAAACCGGAGCCTCCGGCGATGATGGTCAACCTTCTCCGCCGTCTTCCATCGCTGGGTATCACGTGAGCTCCGGCGGATACATGCGTGGAGCCGTGTATCGGGAGCCCAATCAGCCTCTCACAATCGAAGAATTTCACATCCCCCGGCCCAAATCCAATGAAATTCTCATCAAAACAAAGGGTATAAATTTCTTCTCCTTTTCTATGAATCCATTGGATTTGACTGAATATTAGTGATTAAAATCAATGCTTGACGCAATCTGTAGTATCCGAATTCAAAATTTTTAGCGTTCATTTTGAATTCGTTTTGTGGCAGCTTGTGGAGTTTGTCACTCTGATCTTCATGTGATGAAAGGAGAGATTCCATTCGCTAGTCCTTGTGTTATTGGGCACGAGATTACTGGTGAAGTAGTTGAACATGGTCCACTTACTGATCACAAGATCATCAAAAGGTTTCTTCAACTTTCATTCCTTTTTGTTTTCTCTCACTCAAATGGAATCAGATGTTTTGATTACAATCCTAAATGTCTCAACTTTTCTTTATCAGATTTCCAGTTGGTTCTCGTGTAGTTGGAGCTTTCATTATGCCTTGTGGAACCTGTACCTATTGTGCTAAGGTGAGGAGGAAATTGCATTGCTTTCATTACATTCTCAAATCTGGGAGTGTATAGTGTTTGGCTGATACTTTAACTCGGATACAGGGCCATGATGATTTGTGTGAAGACTTCTTTGCTTTTAATAGAGCTAAAGGAACTCTTTATGATGGAGAAACTCGTCTATTTTTGCGACATGATGGTAAATTTTAAATCTTTATGTGGCAGAGAACCAATGATTGTTTCACCAAATGACATATTTGTTTCACTTTCCGGCAGATTCGCCAGTGTATATGTACAGTATGGGAGGAATGGCTGAGTACTGTGTGACACCAGCTCACGGCTTAGCTCCTCTACCAGAGTCTTTGCCTTACACTGAATCTGCGATTCTAGGGTGTGCTGTTTTTACAGCATATGGTGCTATGGCTCATGCTGCGGAGATCCGTCCTGGAGATTCTATTGCTGTAATTGGAATTGGTGGTGTTGGCTCAAGGTATGTTATTAAAGTTGCATTGTCGTTTATTGCCTGATCATAACCATCTTTGAGTTTGTTGCTTGCTTCAGTTGTTTGCAGATAGCGAGAGCTTTTGGAGCGTCGGACATAATTGCTGTGGATGTTCAGGATGATAAGTTGGAGAAGGCCAAGACACTTGGTGCTACTCATATTGTCAATGCTGCTAAAGAAGACGCTGTTGATAGGATAAGAGTATGGTTTGATTAAGAGCAAGATGATAAACCATTGAATTGATCTTAAATTTTGAGAGAAGAAACTGTGTTTCCTTTGCAGGAAATAACCGGTGGGATGGGTGTTGATGTTGCTGTTGAAGCCTTGGGAAGGCCACAAACTTTCATGCAGTGCACACTTAGTGTGAAAGATGGTGGCAAAGCTGTGATGATTGGACTCTCACAAGCTGGCTCCGTTGGAGAAATTGACATTAACAGACTTGTTCGTAGGAAGGTTTGTGTTCTTGCTTAGAAACGTATCTTGTGTTTAAGATTATGTTGCTGAGTCTCTTTTTCTTTTGTTTATGTGAAGATAAAAGTAATAGGATCATATGGAGGAAGAGCAAGACAAGATCTTCCTAAAGTAGTGAAATTGGCAGAGTCTGGGATCTTCAATCTAACAAACGCGGTTTCAAGCAAATACAAGTTTGAAGATGCAGGAAAGGCGTTTCAAGATCTCAACGAAGGGAAAATCGTGAGCCGAGGTGTTGTTGAGATATTATAAACTAAACTCTTTTGTTTCAGGTTTGGTAATCACTGCTTTATACACATGAACTTTGTTCTTGAAAATTAATAAAAGTGGTTTGGATACTGTAATGTGTTTTGATATTTTTTGTTTTTGTACACTGTTGTGACTTGTGACAGTCTTAATTTTTTTGCTCAAATCAAAAAAATTTCTTTCCACAAAATCTAAACTTTTGGAACATATGTCACCTGACCTGGTTATGAATTATCCTAAATTATCACACTGTTTAATAGGAAGAGTATATATGAATAGAGATATAATAAAGAGAAGAGAGTTGGACCAAGTGGCCAAATTACAAATCTACTTTCCATTCTCAGCGTCGGCTGCTTCATAACGTCACCGTTTTTGGGAAACACAATCCTTCTTCTTCCGTCTCACCGGAAATTTCTCGCTTTTGTCTACCTTCCTCCGTCGCCGACGATCTCTTCCTCCGAATTTCATTCAACATTTATCCGATCGCCTTACTCGGTCAGATCCTTTACGTATTTTTATTTCCATGATCGTTGATTTCTAGAAGAAAAAAAAACAAAAAATAAAAAACAGATCGTATAGGTCTCGAGCTTTAATTGGAATTTGAAATTGGTATCGAATCTGATTAGGTATTGAATTTTAGGGTTTTCCCTCTGTTTATTGGTCTCTTGAGCTTAATGTTTCAGCTGAATCTTAATCCTTTTTTTCCTCTTTTGCTGAAAATTGCTGAAAATTGAAGTCTTAGGATCTGAATTTGTTCATATGAAGTTTTGTGAGGGACGTCTTTGAATCATCAGCTAATTCTGAAATGTTCGTAGATCTTATTCTATGAATTGCTTAGCTCTATTTCACAAAGTCACTTCCTTTTGGCTGATTATCCAAAGTTTTGCTCAACTTTTCAGGAAAGCTACATAGAGGAAACCAAAAATGGTTTCGTTTTGTTAAGCTCTACTGTTTCAGTCCCACATAGCAAGGACGTTTAAGCAGAGAGCTCTAAAAGCAATGGGAGATGGCAGTTCCACCAGATCCAACAGCTCAAGCAGCGGCAGCGAGAAGCCAGAGTGGCTGCAACAGTACAACCTCGTCGGAAAAATTGGCGAAGGGACTTATGGACTCGTTTTCTTGGCAAGAACCAAGACTATACCTAAGAGACCAATCGCCATCAAGAAGTTCAAGCAGTCGAAAGACGGAGACGGAGTTTCCCCAACAGCGATCCGCGAGATCATGCTGCTCAGAGAGATCTCCCACGAGAACGTCGTCAAGCTTGTGAACGTCCACATCAACTTCGCAGACATGTCTCTCTACCTCGCCTTCGACTACTCCGAGTACGATCTCTACGAGATCATCAGACACCACAGAGACAAAGTGGGACATTCGTTAAACCAGTACACTGTCAAGTCCTTGCTCTGGCAGCTTCTCAACGGATTAAACTATCTCCATAGTAACTGGATCATACACAGAGACTTGAAACCTTCAAACATCTTGGTTATGGGTGAGGGAGAAGAAAACGGAATAGTGAAGATAGCTGATTTCGGGCTTGCACGGATATACCAAGCTCCTCTGAAGCCTCTATCTGATAACGGAGTTGTGGTCACGATATGGTACCGTGCACCGGAGCTGCTTCTCGGGTCTAAGCACTACACGAGCGCCGTCGATATGTGGGCGGTCGGATGTATATTCGCTGAGCTACTGACTCTCAAACCATTGTTCCAAGGAGCAGAAGCGAAGTCGTCACAAAACCCTTTCCAGCTGGATCAGCTCGACAAGATTTTCAAGATCTTAGGCCATCCGACGATGGATAAATGGCCGGCGCTCGCGAACCTTCCTCACTGGCAATCCGATCTCCAACACATTCAAGCTCATAAATACGACAGTGTTGGTCTCCACAACGTGGTTCACCTGCCCTTCAAAAGCCCCGCTTACGATCTCTTATCCAAGATGCTCGAGTACGATCCTCTCAAACGGATCACTGCTTCTCAGGCGCTAGAGCACGAGTACTTCAGGATGGATCCTATCCCGGGAAGGCAAAAAAAAGCCAAAAATCCACAACAACCCCCCCAACCACCCAAAAAAACACCAACAAAGAACACAAACAAAAAAAACAAAACAACGTGGTTCACCTGCCCTTCAAAAGCCCCGCTTACGATCTCTTATCCAAGATGCTCGAGTACGATCCTCTCAAACGGATCACTGCTTCTCAGGCGCTAGAGCACGAGTACTTCAGGATGGATCCTATCCCGGGAAGGAACGCGTTTGTAGCGACTCAGCCGATGGAGAAGAACGTGAGTTACCCGACACGTCCTGTCGATACTAACACTGATTTCGAAGGCACGACGAGCATCAACCCTCCTCAAGCGGTTGCAGCGGGGAATGTTGGAGGGAACATGGGAGGAGCTCATGGAATGGGGAGTAGATCGATGCCGAGACCAATGGTTGCTCATAACATGCAGAGGATGCAGCCTCAAGGCATGATGGCTTATAATTTCCCTGCACAGGCGGGAATGAATCCGAGTGTTCCGGTGCAACAGCAGCGAGGGATGGCTCAGCCGCATCAGCAGCAACAGCTGAGAAGGAAAGATCCTGGAATGGGTATGTCCGGTTATGCACCTCCTAACAAGACCAGACGTCTTTGAAAGATCATAAAAGGTTAAATGGATATCATCGATTCCGGTTTTTTTTTTTTTTCCGCAGCATCGTTTTGAAGCTGTGTTTTGGCGCAGAAGAACATGTTGCGATTTGTTTTAGTGTAGACTAGAGTTTGTAATGCAGCCATGTGGTTTCTTGCCTATTTATATGGATGGATTCTGTAGTTTTGTAAAAACATTATTTCAAAAAGTGTTGTCTTAATGAAGGCCAATCTAAAAGTTAATTGTTTTTTTTTTAAGAAAGGTCTTTGTTGATTCAAAAGTTCAAAGGAAGTAGTTAACATTTGGAGCAATATCTAAACTGCCAAGTAATAAATATAGCAATTAGTAAGACCATAATAAAATTTTGAAATTTAATATTTATGCTGTGGTCGTAATTTCTTCTTACTTAGTTATATTTTGTCAATATGTTACCACCTGCTACGACCAATATTATATTTCATTGTTACCTTACCACTTACCACCTGCTACCACCACCAATATTGCAGTAATTTAATTATTTGTAGCTACGCGACACACAGTGCTTCGTTGCATTACTGTCTCTAATCGTTTATATTAATCATTTTCCAGAAATGTCTTACTGTATTACATGTTAAGCAGTAGCAGACCTAAATTAATTATCATAATTTAATGGTGTTGTGCCACGTCATCAACACTTCCCCCCTATATACACCTTTCGCCAACCAATTAGTCTAAACAAATCCGGCGAAGCAATGGAGAGTGAAACAGCAACAATGGAGGTCGAGAGAGACCAACACACATCTCCACCGTGCGAGACGACTACAGTCCCTATCGTTGATCTGAGCGATCTCGACGATGAGCTCGTGGCACGTGCGGTGGTGAAAGCGAGCGAAGAGTGGGGGGCTTTTCAGGTGGTTAACCACGGGATTCCGACGGAGTTGCTGCGTCGGCTTCAGGAAGTGGGGAGGCAGTTCTTTGAGCTCCCGGCCGAAGAAAAGGAAGCCGTAGCAAAGCTACCAGACGTCGATTGCTTGGAAGGTTACGATTCAATACATTCAAAACGTTTAGAGTCTTGGAACAGTCACCTGCTTCACAAAATCTGGCCACCGTCGTGCATCGACTACAGATTCTGGCCTAAGAATCCTCCAGATTACAGGTACCGTAGAGGATCCAACCGAAAACCGCATTTTGTCAACGTTTACATTATTGAAAGAAAAAAGAAAAACATTATAAGAAAAGAGTATAAACGTCATTACCTAACCTATAATTATTAATCTATATTTTACTGTTTCATGATTAGTTACTAACTCTACTCAACTCGATAAGTGTATTGAGTCAAACCCTCTATTAATCATATACATTAATCATTGATTTGGGTTTCAGGGAGGTGAACGAGGAGTACGCAAGACAGGTGAAGAAGTTAACGGAGAAGATTATGGGTTGCTTGTCAAAGGGGTTAGGGCTAGGGCACGATGCCTTGAACGAAGGTATAGGCGGCGATGCAGCAGAGTATACGATAAGGATCAATTACTATCCGCCGACGTCGGATGAAATCATAGGAGCACCGGCGCATACAGATTTCACTTCAATGGCACTCCTAGTCCCCAACGAGGTTCCTGGACTTCAAGTCTTCAAGGGTAACAGCTGGTTCGACGTTGAGAACGTCGATTCAGGCATTGTTGTCCTCATCGGCGATCAAATCATGGTCTGATATTGTGTTTCATTGAAATTTGGTAGTGTTTTAGAGTACGTTGGGTTTTTGAGATTTATGTAACATTTGTAGAGGATGAGCAACGGGAGGTACAAGAACGTGTTGCATAGAGCAACGATGGATAAGGAGAAGACGAGGATGTCGTGGCCGGTTTTGGTTGACCCTAAGCGTGGTTTGGTCGTCGGACCTTTGCCGGAGCTCATCGGAGACGATAATCCTCCCAAGTTTGAGTCTTTAACCTTTGAAGACTACATTCACCGCAAGATCAATATGCTTCTTCACGATGGATAATAAAACCTCAAAAAAATCATTTATGAAATTACTTAATTACTGTTTCCATTTTTTTTTCAAAATAAAAGACAGGAAAAGATGTTCTGAGTGAATGCACATTTGTTCAAAACATATTTTACAAGAAACGTTTTACCTTAAATTCCACTTGCGCACTTTTACCTTAAATTCCACTTGCGCACTAATGCAAATGATTTTATGTACTAAACCTTTTGTAAGAAAACCTAATTTTTCTTATTAAAAAAACTTCTATATCAAGTCCTTAAGGTTGGTGACCGAACCCTCTTTTTGACTAAGTTAAGATTTTAGGAAATCTTCAAAATCATTCATAAATGTTTTTCGTATTGTTTATTATATATATAGACTTGAAACCGTATAAAGTTCCTTTTGCATACATAAACATTTTCTTATTGTGGTAAATTACACACACACACGTACAAGATTGTAACTTGACCACGACTGAGTCTAATGATTATTTTGTACTAATATCGTCGATGTGTGTTATTCAACCCACTTATTGCATGTTTAGAAACCTAGTAACTTCGATGCGTAAGAAAAAGGAAGAAGAATAACAGATCATGCATCATTTGGATCAATCGACTGGAAGCTTGAAAAGCCTACGGAATTTAAAGTCCTTGCAAGTAATAGGCTTGAACATAGAAGGATTATCGCCGGTAATGAGCTCCGGCAAAGGTCCGATGACCACATCAGGATTAGCATCCACAAAAATCGGCCACGACATCCTTTGTTTTTCTTTATCCACCGTCACTCTATGCAACACATTCTTGTACTTCCCGTTGCTCAGCCTCTACAAAAATATATATCATTTTGCTCATCACAAATCTCAAAGTTGGTATAAATTATTGGTTATCGAAAAAACGGAAAACATACCAATAGCTGATCACCAATGGTAATGGTAATGGCGGAGGGAATGTATTGGACATCGAACCACTGATCGTCTTTGAAAATCTGAAGCCCTGGAACTTCATTGGTGACGATGATTGCCATTGCAATAATATCTGTATGCTCCGGTAGTCCCAAGTTCAAATCCGGTTTAGGATTAGGCGGGAAATTGTTGATTCTCATCACATACTCAGTCTTGTCACCTCCTAGACCTTTCTTCAAGGCATCATGCTGTAACCCTAATCCCTCTGATAAAACCCCCAAAAGCCTCTCCGATAACTTTTTCGTCTCCTTTGTGTACTCCTCAACCACCTCCCTATAACCACACACCATGTCCCAAAAATCAAACCATGTATAGCTAAACATGGTAAGGTAATAAATATGAATAGGAAATATAAAACGAATGGGAATATTAAAACATAAATGGACGTAAATTTTGTTAAACTTTAACAAAACGTGATGTATTATGTTTTAGGGTTCTGCCATATACGTATTTGATAGACAAAATTTTCGTCTCCTTTGTGTACTTCTCAACCAACTTCCTATAACCACACAACATGTCCCAAAAATCAAACCATGACTAAAATTTATTTGGCTTTTGACGATTAGTTGGACGACAACTGCTCTAAATAGCTAAACATGATAATAAGTTAATAACTAATGTAATAATTATGACTAGAAAATATCAACGAATGGGAAATATTATTAAAACATAAACGAACGTGACTTTTGTTAAACTTTTACAAAACTTGTTGTACTATGTTTTATTCTACCATATACGTATATTATAGACAACAATTTGCATACGAAGATTCATCGTAACCTGTATTGAGGAGGGTTTTTGGGCCAGTAGTTGAAATTGAGACACGAGGGTGGCCAGATTCTGTGAAAGAGGTTATCGGCCCAAACCTCATCTTCTGTATACTTGAGATTCCTCGTGTAACCTTCAAAGTCTTCCGAGTCATCTCGTTTCGCTACTTCTTTCTTCTCCGTCTCCGGGAGATCAAAGAACTGTTTACCAACCTCCTTCAACCGCTCTATCAGATCCGTCGAGATCCCGTGATTCACCACGTGGAAAATCCCCCACTCTTGGCTAGCTTTCACCACCGCACGTGCCACGAGCTCGTCGTTGGGATCGCTTAGATCGACAATAGGGATCGTCTCGGACGGTGAAGAAGATGTGTGTTGCTCTCTCTCGACCCCCATGGTTGTTGACTTGTTGTTTCACTCTCTTCTGCTTCGCTTGAGAGATATATACTTAATTGTTTTTTCGTTATGATTTATTAGGTAGTATAATGGAAGCAATGCGTACCTTAACTATAAATAATTGGATTAGTTATTGGTTAGTGTCATTGAGGTGGGTAATGTACAATGACATTTAATTGTTTTAAGATCCTAAAATATAAAAAGCTTAAACATTACGTCAGTGTTATCACTTATCACCTTTTGTTTGGTTTTTATTGGAAATTACACGAAAATGGACCCAAAACGTGCTTATTTTAAGAGGAAAAATATCCCACGCTTCATTGATATATGAGTTCTCTTGATATATCAACATCATCGACAAAGTCCCAAAACAATCAACAAAGTTGAAAAAAATGGCTTCTTAAAACGTTCTCTTATTCTTCTTTTCTTTATAGTTGGTGTTGTATCAAATCAACATATTGTGGTAGTAGTTTTCATAATAATATTTTATCAGTTTAAACATTCTTTAGCAATAACTCTTTGAGGATTATGTTAACCCCATAACATAAACAGAACAAATGGTTTCATCATACAAAATTCTCAAGCTACCAATGAAAAAAAAAGGCTAAATCCAACTCACTACACAAAGACTGATTTAATCCGTACACAACATCCCCAAAACAGAAGAAGATTGTGAAAACGAGACTCAAGAAAACATTCTTAGATCCTACCAAGAACCCTCTCAGCCGCAGCAATAGTGAACTGTATATCCTCAGAAGTGTGAGCCAATCCAGTAAAGCCAGCCTCGAACTGAGACGGTGCAAAGTAAACACCTTCCTCCAACATCCCCCTGAAAAACTTGCCAAACTTCTCCGTGTCGCTCTTCTTCGCGTCATCGAAGTTGTTAACCGGTCCTTCCGCGAAAAAGAAACCGAACATACCTCTTATGTAACCTCCGCACATCGGATGCCCTGTCTTCTTCCCGGCTTCCAAGATCCCGTTCGTTAACTCTTTAGTGATCTTGTCCAAATACTCGTACGTTCCTGGCTGCATCAGCCTCTTCAGCGTGTGAATCCCTGCCGTCATCGCCAGTGGATTACCACTTAGCGTCCCGGCTTGATACATTGGTCCTGCCGGAGCAACCTACAAACAAACACAAACCGGTTAACTAACTACAATGGCAAAGCTTAATAACTACATTGGTCTTACCATCTCCATAATATCTCTTCTTCCACCGTAAGCTCCAACGGGAAGACCACCGCCGATGATCTTCCCAAGAGTTGTCAAATCAGGCGTGATGCCAAAGTACTCTTGAGCTCCACCGTAAGCTAAACGAAAGCCAGTCATGACCTCATCAAAGATGAGCAACGCATCGTTGTCTTTCGTCAGCTGACGTAAACCGTTGATGAACTCCGGAGTAGGAGTGATGAATCCAGAGTTCCCAACAACAGGTTCGAGAATCACCGACGAGATCTCTCCTTTATGAGCCTCGAATAGCTTGGCAACAGCTTCCAAATCGTTGTAAGGAGCTGTTAAAGTATCCGAAGTAGCTGCTTTAGGGACACCTGGAGAGTCAGGTAGCCCTAGAGTAGCTACACCACTACCAGCTTTCACAAGGAAGGCGTTGGCGTGACCGTGATAACATCCTTCAAACTTGATGAACTTCTCTCTGTTGGTGAAGGCTCGAGCGAGACGAAGCACGCCCATACACGCTTCGGTACCGGAGTTAACAAACCGGACCATCTCAATGCTTGGAACTGCTGATATCACCATCTCAGCTAGAACATTCTCCAAGAGACAAGGAGCACCAAAGCTTGTTCCTTTCTTCATCGTCTCAGCTAGAGCAGCAAGAACCTACGAGAAAGATTCGATTTTTATGGCAAAGTTACGAGCTTTAGAGGATTTGGTTTTGTAGAAGAAATGGTTATACCTCATCATCGGCGTGGCCGATTATAGCTGGTCCCCAAGAACCAACGTAGTCTACGTATTCGTTTCCATCAATGTCCCACATTTTTGAGCCTTTGACGGAATCTATCAACACTGGTTGTCCTCCGACGGATTTGAAGGCTCGAACAGGGGAATTCACTCCTCCAGGCATTAGTTTCTTTCATCAAGAGAAATCAATTTTTCATAAGTCAGGATTAAAAAGGTAACAGTGAGTCCATTTCTATCCACAAAACGATGAATTGAAAAGCTAAGTCAAGCTAAAGTAAGTAACATGAAACAGAGGCATAAAAATGAGTCCTTTACACCAAAATCTGATTTTGATTGACTTAGCTCTAATAAACATGTTCAAACTACTACATTTCCAGGATTCTTAGCAGAAATTTCTTGAATCAATCAAATTCTACAACTTTGGGACAACTTGCGATTTCTCATGATTTGATCATTTCTGGAGAAAAACAGAGACTTGCAATCAACGAGACACTAACAAATTTTTCGAAATATCATCCAGATTTCAACAACAGCAAAACCACCAGAATCAAATGAACAAAAATCAAAATCAATTGATATTCGGGTCATCAAAATATCGAATCATGAATCAAATGAGTATCGGTTGTGTGAGGTCAAT